ATGGGGGGACATGGCGGGGGGGGGTCAAGGAGTGGATGTGGGGGGAAATGGGGGGGCACAGGAACGGTCAAGGGAGACACGGAAGATTAGGGGGATATGGCAGGCACCACAACGTTTGACACTGGGTGGCACCGCGGGCCAACACTGGGAACCGCTGGGGCTGAAACAGGACCGGCTGGGCTGAAGTGGGAGGTGCCTTGCCAAACTGGGAGTTTGTGCAGGGCTGAACTGGGAGACACCGGGCCTGCTCTGGGGCTGTACTACTGTGTAGTGGCGTGCACTGGTGTGTACTGGGAGCGCACCGGTGCGGACGCTGAGGCGCAGCACGTCCCGGCAGCGCTGCAGGAGCCGCTCCCGCCCCTCCCCTTCGCTCCGGAGCTCCAGATCCAGCAACTCCCGCAGCTCTTGCGGCTCCTTCCAGTCACACACCTGGGAATGCGCTGGGAATGACTAGGAGGGACTGGGAACGGGACTGGAAACCGCAGAGGAAATGGGCTGGGAATGGCGTTGAGAATGGGACTGGGAATGGAAACAAGATTGGGAATGGGATTGGGACTGGAACCGGCAGCCAGAATGGGAATGGAACTGGCACCGGGACTGCGAACACAATGGGGAATGGGAATGAGAATGGGGCTGGAAGTGGGATTGCAAATGGGACTGGAAATGAAAACAAGATTGGGAATGAGACTGGAAATGAGAATGCAACTGCAACTGGGACTTACTCCCAACTCCAGTCCCACTCCCAATCCTGTTCAGAGTATAAGACTGGGAATGGAACTCGGAATGGGACTGAGAACAGGATTGGAAATGGGACTGGCTATTGGAGCAGTACTGGAAGTGGGACTTCTGTTAGGAACAGGATTGGGAATGGGACTGGAACTGGGATTCAGAATGGGAATGGGAAAGGAGCAAGGTTGTGACCCCTACCCCCTTCCATGTCTGCTTCCAGTCACATGCCTGGGAATGACTGGGAATTGGATTGGAAATGACTGGGAATGAGAATGGGATTGGGACTGGGACAGGGAATGACTGTGAACAGGACAGGCAATAAGGAAGGATTGGGGACCCCACCCCCTCCCAGGGGGCTCGTTCCAGTCACACACCTGTGGGGACAGGAATGGGATTGGAACTGGGATTGAGAATGGGACTGGGAATGGGATTGGGACTGGAAATGGGAATGTGATGGGGTGGGACTGGGGACCCCAGCCCCCCGAGTGCTCCGGTATCCCAACCTTCTGTGTCATGTCCATGCTCTTCCGCACGCCCTCCTCCAACAGGATCTGGAACACTTCCTGCAGGAATTCCTCCCCAGCGGCGATGTCCAGACCGGGATCATCCAATGGGATGCTGTCCCAAATCCCAGAGGGCTCAGCCATGGCAGGAGAACACAGGGACACCCTGAAATGCACCAGGAGGGACCCTGGCCCTGAGATTAGCAGAAGGTATTGGGATGGGGGGGTCCCAGGATGAGCTTCTTCTAGAAGGAGATAATCCTGGGATAAAGTGATCCTGGGGCAAGGTTCTCCTTGGATAAAGTGGTCCCAGAATGGGGTGATTGTGGAATAAGGATCTCCTGGGATCTCCCTGGATGAGCTTCTCCCTGGAAGGATGTGCTCTTGGGATAAGGTTCTCTCAGGATCAAATTCTCCTGGAATAAGGTGATTCCAGAATTCTGTTATTGTGGGACAAGATGATCACAAAATTAGTTGTTCCCAGGATGGCTTTCTCCAGAGATCAGGCTCTCTGGACTCAGGTGCTCCCAGCTCCTCTCACCTCTGCCAGCTGGAATTTTCCAGGATCAGGTGCTGCCGAGACCAGGTTCTCCTGGGATGAGGTGATCCTGGGATGAGGTGGTCTCAGAATTAGGTGCTCCCAGGAGAAGCTTTTCCTGGGATCAGGATCACCTGGATCAAGCTCTCCCAGGATTAGACTCTCCCAGCTCCTCTCTCTCCCCTCCCCAGGATGGAATTTTCCTCTGGCCTTATCACCAAGGGGCAAGGAGCAAAGTCCAGGACTCAGGAAGGGGCCCGGAGGGTTCTGGGGACAGGGGGCAGAGTCAGGACTGTGTCCCCAGATCCATGTAAGAGGGAAGAGTGGTGACCCCATATGTTCTCCAATTCCCAGTGTCCCCACAAACCCATTCCCAATGTGACCCCCACCAATTCCCAGGGTCCCCAAACCTATTCCCATTGTCCCCGCTGTCCCCAGTGTATCTACCCCTATCTCTGGTGTATCCCCCCAACCTGTCCCCCCCACCAGTATTTGGTGTCCCCCTTGTCCCCAGTGTCCCCATTCCCTCCCAGTGCCCTTCATTCCCAGTGTGCCCCCAATCCCAGCACTCTATTTCCAGTATCCCCCTCAATTCCCAGACACCACGAGGAGGGCCAGTACCTGCCCCGGGGGGCAATAAAGGGGACAGAGGAAAGGAGGAGATCAGCCCTCAAAAGAAGACCCCAAAGGGAGGGATCAGAGTGAGGAGGGGCCCAAAGGGGGGTTGTAGTAGGGGGTCCCCAAGAGTGGGTCGCGAGTAGGGGCAGCGGAGGGGGGCGCCGGGAGAGGATTGTCGGGTAGGACGGTATCGGTCCCGCTCCCGGGAAGTGGGGTCGGGCCGTAGTCAGTCCCGGTCTCGGTGAGTCAGGGGGGATGCAGGGGGTGGGTCCCTCTCCTGGGGGTGGGTCGGGGAGGGTCGGGGGCTCTCGGAGGGGTCCAGGCCGTGCCGTTGCCACGGCAACTGCCCTCACCCACGATGGCGGCGCAACGCTCGGCGTCCCGCCGCCTCTTTGGGCATGCGCAGTCCAGCCTTCACGGCCGCCTGGAGCCCGTCGGTCCCGGAAGCGGCGGCGGGGGCGGGGGTTTCCGGTTCCGGGTGGCGGCGGCGGCGGCGGGGGGGGCGGTGGGGCTGGGCTCGGGCGGTCGGAGCGCGGAGGGGCTGCGGCAGGTACGGACTGGTCCCCCATGACACCCCCCCGCGGGACCCTCCGGCACCCTCGCGGCGACCCAGGCCCCGCCCAACACCGGGGGGCTGTTCCCACCGGGGATGAGGGGAGGGGAACGGGCTAGGGGTGGGAGGGGGATGGGGAGGGATTGGGGGGAGTTGTCGAAGGAGAGAGGCGACCCCGATCCCCGCTGTGGCCCCTCCCGGTGTGACCCTTCCCAGGTCTTTCCCTGGTTGTGACCCCTCCCCGGGACACCGCCGCTGGGACCCCCTGGTAACTCCCCCCTTCCCTCCCTCAGATCTCCCCGATGTGACGCCCCCTGTGCCCTCCCCCTCCACGGTCACCCCCGGCTCTGACCCCTCGGAGACTCCTCGCTTTGGTGACCCCCCCGTGTTATCCCCCGACCCCCGCAAGCCCCGCAGATAACAGAGTCCGCCGGGATCCCCCAAAATCGTCCCCAACCTCACCTCCCCCTACCCTGGGACCGCCCCCCCAGAGTCACCCACCCTCGGGACCCGCTTTCGCTCCGTTCTGCGGGGACACCCCTTGTTCTAGGAATTTCCCCCGCAGTGTCATCCTGTCCTGGGACACCCCCCCCCCAAATTACCCCATTAAGAAATCTGTTACCCCGCTATCCCCCACTCTGAGATACTTCCCTTTGGGCCCCCTTTGACCTTCCCTTTTCCCACTGTTTTTCCCTCAGGCGGATCCCCGTGGATTCTGTTCCGTCCCTGCAGATCCAGTGCCCGCCCAGCTCGGGGGGTCCCGGCTTTGGGGGGGGGGGCCCTGCCCTGTGTCCCCCCCCTTCCTGCCCCAGTGGCCCCCCCAGGAGGAGGAAGAAGAGGAGGAAGAGGAGGAGGAAAGGAGGAGGAGAAGGAATGGCGGCACCGTGGCGGGTACTGGAGCCCGCCCAAAAATCCATAAAAATTTACTGATCCCACCTTTTCTTACCCCAAACGAGCTTTACCTGGGCGAGAAGTAAGGCCAAAGGCTCCCACAGCATGGCTCAGGTAATGAGCCCCCACCCCCTGCATCCTGACACCCCCAGGCCCAGGAATTTGGGGGAACAACAGCCCCAAAAAAATGGGAAAAGGGAAAGAAGAGGGGAGGGAGCTGGAGCTTCCCTCCCCCTGCACCAGGGTGGGGGGTGCCTCCCCATCCCCCCATCCTGCTCCAGGAAGATATTCCAGGATTATTGCCATTTTCCCCAAGATTATCCTGATTTTCCCCAGAAATATCCTTAATTTTCCCCCTAGCCCAGAGGGCCTGTCAAGCCTCAAAAAAGGAGGTTCAAGCTGTTCCTCCATACTTGGGGTTGTTCCCAGTCTTCTCAGGATTATCCCAAAATTTTCACAGTATTATCCCAAATTTTTCCCATTATTACCCAGTTTTACCCAAGATTTCCCAAATTTTCCTGGTAGCCTTTAGGGGAAGGTGGGTCAGTAGTTTAGTAGGCAGTTCGGGGGTGTCTTTGCCTCCCCCCACCTTCCCCTCCCCACTTTCGGGGTTTTTCCAGAGTTATTCCTGAATTCTCCCACTTTCCACTGGAATTGTCACAGTTTTCCCTGGGATAATCCAAATTTTCCCCGGGATTATCTTGAAATTTCCTGTTATCCATTAGATCCTTTCTAGGCTGGAAGAAGGGGTTTCAAACCCCAAACACACCTTGGGGTCTTCCCAGAGTTACCCCAGGATTATCCCAGTTTTCTCCAGCATTCCCCAAATTTCCCTGGTAGCCTTTAGGTCCCATCAGGCCTCAGATAAGGGGTTCAGCCCCCAAAAACTCTCCTTCTTTGGGGTTCTTCCCAGAATTATTGGGGAATGATCCCAAATTTTCCCCATAATTCCCCGTTTTTTCCCTGGGATTATCCCCTCATTGTGGTTATTTCCCATTAACCATTAGGTCCCAACAGGCCTCAGAAAAGGAGATTCAGCCTCCTCCATTCCCAGTTTTGGGGTCTTCCCATTTTCCCTTGGGTTTATCCCACTTTTCCATAGGCTTATCCCAAAGTTGATGCACAATTCCCTTGAATTTTCCCATTTGACCTTAAATCCTCATTGGGCTGAGAGAAGAGTGTTCAACCCACTCTGTTCCACTTCAGGGTCTTCCCAGAATTATTCTAGGATCATCCCAAATTTTCCATGACATCATCCCAAAGTTTTCCCAGGATTATTGCAAATCTCCCTTGAGATCGTCTCAAAGTTTCCCCAGATTATCCCTAATTTCCCATCAGGGCCCAGAAGCAGGGGGGGCCTGCCCCACTCCCCACTCCAAGGGGCACCCCAGCATTCCTGGGCTGTGGGGCTGATCCCAGGGGTCCCTTCCTGTTCCAGGCGAGTCTCCTGGCCTGCGAGGGGCTCTCGGGCGTCTGCCTCGTCCCCACTGTCGCCAGCAAGAAGATGATGCCCAAATCCGGCGGGAAACAGGATGGGAGCCGGGAACGGGGCTCCAGCCCTGACCTCCTGGTATGGAGTGGGAACCCCTGGCTGGGATCTGGCACCTTCCACTGGGGGAATCCTACCTTTAATTGGGGAATTCCACCCTTTTAATTTGGGGGTTTATGCCTGTAGTTGGCTTTTCCAACTTTTAATTTGGAGGTTTCCAGCTTTCATTTCCTTTTACTACCTTTAGTTTCTTCTTGCTTTTATTTGGGGGTTTTGGACTGGTTTTTTTGCCTGCTTTAATTTGGGCTTTTCTGCCCCAAATTTGGCGTTTCCCACCTCTAATTTGCCTCTTCCTCCTCAAATTTCAATTTTTTCTCCCCTTATTCATCCTTTTTCTATATTTTTTTGACCTTTTCCAGTTCTAATTTTGCTTTTTCCTGCTTTAATTTGTTTTTTTCCTCCTTTAGTTTTCCTGCTTTAGTTTGATTTTCTCACTTCTCATTTGACCTTTTCCTGCTTTAATTTTTTAGTCCTTTCATTTCCCATTTCTTGGCCTTACTTGATTTTCCTTCTTTCACTCACCCTTTCCTGTCTTTAATTGGACATTTCCTCCTTAATTTGGATTTTTCCTCCTTTATTTGGCCTTTTCCTATCTTGGATTTTCCTGTTCTAATTCTATTGTTTCCCCTTCAATTCCATCCCCTTATTATCCCCCAACCTCCCCATTCCCTGCTCATCTTGAACCCCCCCTCCCCAATTTCCTGCTCCTTCCCAATCCCTCACAATTCCTGGTCCCCCAATCTGCCCTGCAAATTCCTTTCCCCTTCCCAAACCCCTCCCTGCCAATTCCTGATCGCATAATCCCCCCCTTCCCAATCCCCCTTCCCTAATTCCTGCCCCTCCCAATTTCTGTCCCCCAATCCTCCCTTTCCAAACCCCACCCCAATTCCTGCCCCCACCAGTCCCTCCGCCAGGACCCTGACAAGCCCCGTGCCCACAAGGACGACGATGCTCCTGAGGCCTCCAACCCCAAGAAATCCATGAAAAAGGCAGGTTCCCTCCCCCAGCGGGGGGGTCCCCCCTCGATTTTGGGGTCGGGGGGGGTCAGGGGGCCATCTCGGGGGCCGCTGACACCCCCTCGCCCCCCCGGCAGCGCCGCAAGCGGGTTCCCGGCGCCGAGGGACTGCAGAGCTCCTCCCGCCGAGGATCCCAGGTTTGCCGCCGCGCCGCACGAGGAGGAGGAGGAGGAAGACAATCTCCCAAACTCCGGCAGGCGCAGGACGGCCGGGGGGGGGGGGAAATTTGGGGGCTGCTGGGGGTCCCCCCGGCTCTGAACCCCCAAATCCCCCCCCCATTTCAGATGGTGGTGATTGAGCAAAACGGCTCCTTCCAGCTCAAGAATTTCATCTGTGACCACTGTTTTGGCGCCTTCCGGAGCAGTTACCACCTCAAACGGCACATCCTCATCCACACCGGTAATGACCCCTCGTTAATGAACAGCCCCTCCCCCCAACCCCGCGCTAATTCCCGCCCCTCTCCCCGGCGCTAATTCCCGCCCGGAATTCCAGGGGAGAAGCCATTCGAGTGCGACATGTGCGACATGCGCTTCATCCAGAAGTACCACCTGGAGCGACACAAGCGGGTGCACAGTGGGGAGAAGCCCTACCAGTGCGAGCGCTGCATGCAGGTATTCCCGAGAGAATTCCTGTGGGAATGTGCCTGTGGGAATGTACGGGGCACCTCTGGGATCCACAGCGCCAGCCCCAGAACTGACCCCCTCCTTGTCCTCGCAGAGCTTCTCCCGCACGGACCGGCTGCTCCGACACAAGCGCATGTGCCAAGGCTGCCAGACCAAGACCCCTCCCGACTCCCAGCTCCTGCTGTGAAAATCGGGAAGTTCAGGGGGTGTGGGAGGGGGGTGTTTCCTCCCACACCCCCCCACATCACCATGCTCTGCCTCACCTGGATTTCTCAGCCCCTCTAAGGATGGGGAAGAACCCAAGTGCTGCCAGTGTGGAAAAACTTGGATCGTTCCTGCCCTCCAGCCTAAAAACTTGGATTATGATCCCAAAAATCCTCTTGGAATCTTCGAGTGCCCCCCCCCACCATCATTATACCCCTAAATCCACCCCTCCCCCTCTTAGGAAGGACTGGAAACCCCCAAACTGCCCAAAATCCCGGCGGATCTGAGATACCTGTGCACAGGTAGGAGGGTCCCACTGGGAATAGCAGTATCAATCCCTGTCTTCTTTGGGAAAAGGAGGAAAACTGAAGATGTTGGGGGTGCTTCAGCTTGGGTGGGCACCCCCATTTTTTGTTTTTGGAAAATAGGAAAAAGGAATTTGGGGGCTCCCTTTGAGCAGTGGGACACACAGCGGTACTTCCCATTTCATCTGGAACTCCTTCAGATTTTGGGGGGTTTCTCCTACTTCTGTGTGGTTTTGGGGTGCTGCCTATGTCCCCCCATGCTGGGAGGTTTACACCCTGGGGCAACAGAAGGGTAACTTCGAGGGGCCCCCTCAGTTTCCTGGAAAACGCCTGGATCAGGGGCAAGGGGGGCAGGGGTGGCAGGAGCAGCCACAAGCCCCAAAAAACACAAGAGGTGTCCCTGTTCCCCCCATCACATACTGCTCCAAGGGGCAAGAGAGATATTTGCGCCCCCCCCATTTTTGTGACCTGAACCCCCTTTCAAAACTGTAGGAGTTTTTGGGGGACCCAAATTTCTGGGACCTCCCCCAGTGATACTTCAAGAAGGACTTCGGCTCTGCTTAGCCTATTTCCCCAAATTTGTGGGGCCCAGGGGGGGCAGTTTGGGGGCTCTGGCAGGGGTTGGGGTGCTGCACGGGGTTG